TGCGTGCGGCCGTCCGCGAGTGTAACTTGCGTAGGTTGCGTCTTTCTTCGAACGCGCGGGCCAAGACCTGCGCGGGCCATAAAGGCTTGACTCATGAAGTTGCGAGACGCTCCGCAATCAATCAAGGCACTACAGGTTGCCTTTCCGATTTGAATGCGGATATAGAGCAAAGGTGCGTCGGTTTCGGCGTACCTTTGGGTGGCGTGCTCGCGGTCGATCTTCGCAAGATAGGAGCGGAGATCGGCAACCGCTACCCCGTCGCCCGCCAACGGAGCTAGTACTGTAGTGTGCAAGTAGAAGCGTAGATTTGCCATCAAGGCGTTGCAATGCGGCCTTGGCAATGTTCCGGTCGAGGGTAGAGGTATCCAAGCGAAATCCTCTCTCGTGAGCGGGTCAAGCTCCTCAAGTCTTGACCACGCCGTCGAGTCCTCGGAAAGCAGTGGCGAACTGATCGGATCACTTGTCGACGGTGTACAGGCTGCGCATACGCAATCTACATGCACGTGGCTAGGCTGGTCTAATGGTGGTACCAGCTGGGTGGCATAATCCTCGTATGTAGCACGAGAATCAGCGACTAACGCATGCTCCCCGGTAGTGACATCGATTGCTAACAAGGCAACCGGGTCCCGCAGAGTGAGGAGAGACGTCGCCCCTCTCCTTGAGTAACTCAGTTTCCCGAGTTTGCTGGACGGGGTATGCGTGCCTTGCCCTTTTCGGGGCATTGTGCGGTCACATGAGCGACTCCGTTGCACCAAAGGCAGTATCCGTACTTCTGACGTAGGTAATAGACCTCCTTGGTGATCTTATATGCCGTCCATGGCTGCCCAGCTCCCGTCGCTGCCGTCTCGTGTGTCGCCTTGTTCTTACGAACTCTTTTGGGACGCTTCGGCGGGAGCGCTGCGACAATTCCTCCATCACCCGAGGATGTTGCTGCAGCGTGGTGGTCGTCGGTTTCCACGGAAATTACGGCATTGTTATGTGCCGGACGTTGATAGGCCTGCTTAGCCACATAATGCGGTTGGGATTGTCTCTCGTTAGCGGCCTTGTCGTCCGTTTGGATGACCAAGTTCGCTCGATCCAGAATGGCCTGGAATGTGGTATAGTCGTACTCATTACCGAGTGCCGACCGCAGTCCCGCGCACGATCGCGAAAAGAACTCGGATCGTTGATTTGGAAAACTCAAATCGAATCCTGGCGTGGTCACTATCTTTTGCCACTTCGTTGTCCAGTCTCGAGTTGGCATGTTCCCCTGAGAGCATGTGTACACCTCATTCATGGCCGCCTTCACGACGTTGCGGACCATGAACCGGGTGAACCATAGCTGCTCGAACTCCTTCCACGTGATGTGCGTGTGGAGTTCGGCGATGGTGCACTTGTGGGTGGYCGCSAGGTGGTTCATCCATGTCTGCGCTCCTCCAATCAGTTGCAAATAGAGTGCCTTCAACATGTCGTTCGTCGGGACAGTGCGGCATGACGCTTCCGTGAGGAAACGTTGCCACCATGTCAAAGCGTCCGACTTGTTTTAGTCGTCAAACTTGCAGATGTCGAAGTGCGGCATCTTGAATGTCTTTGTAGCGGCGTCTGGTCTCGTCTGTGGTGATGTCCGTCTTGAGGGCGGCCACCGTGCTGCTGATCGTGTCCGGTCCGTTGAAAACACCTATGTCGTCGATGATGGTGACGACGTGATCGATGCGTTCATTGATTTGCTTCGTCGCGTCCGTCGTGCAGCCTGGCGCTGCTGAGGCCTTGGCCTCAATGCCGTTGATGTGTGCGATGGTAGAGTTCATCAGCTGTTGCTGTTGCTGCTGCTGCGTTGCTGCGTCGCGGACGTCGGCCGTTACAGCGGCCAGGTCTTGCTGGTACTGCTGTCTTTGCTATCGTTCCGTGTGCAGGTGTGCCTGCAGTAGTTTGTTGTTCCACATTACTCCCCTCATTACGTTCAACATCACGGTAGCCAGGTTACTTTTCTCTGCCTCCGCCTGTGTCGGTTCCGCCTGCGTTTCCGTAGGCACAAAGATCATGCCTTGGAGTAACGTTGTCCACTGATGCTCACTAGCAATCAGGGACTCCGTGCTGGCGGCATTCCGTCTGTTTCRTGCCGCTTCGTCAGTCTCAGCTGTCCGCTGAGCTTCGGCTGCCGTCTCTTTGGCCAGCCGCTGACGTTCTGCCTCTGCCGCAGCCTGCTGAGCCTCGGCGGCGGCTACGGCGTCTGTAAATGCCTGTAGCCGCCCACGATAGTCAGCCCAAGGCTCGCTGGCCTCTCGGACCGGGCATGCGAGAAGATCTCCGGTGGTGTCTTGTACTGTCAACGCCATACTTGATGTCGCTGGAGTCGTCCGTCTGCTGGATCTCTTGGGTCTTGGAGGTACCGCAAGGCGGGCACGAACTGCGATCCTGGCACTGCGCCGTGGTAGTGCCCCGGTGTCCTGTTCCGTCGACATCAGTCTGAACTGATGCGGTACTTGAGAGGTGCCGGTGTTCACAAGCTACAGGGGGGTAGGTAGAGTGGGAACAGGGGTAGAACAATCAAGCAATATACATACAATCCCCTGTCCCACTGATGGACTGTAGACACCTAATCAAACAGGAAAAAATAAATTTCCCGTAAACCCTTCAAAAAAAAAAATCGTAATAAGGAATTAATAACGATTTAATCAATAAAATTAATTAATGATAATTAACGAAATAAATCCGAATGATAATCAGTAAAACAATGTTTGTAATAAAGATAACCAATTAATGATAATCAGTAAAACAATGTTTGTAATAAAGATAACCAATTAATAAACGAATTTGAAAGGTATTATGATTAGGTCTCTTTGAGATCACTTTGAGTCCGGGAGTTCACCGTTACTGAGTGAACTACCCGGAAGTTGCAGTTTGAGGGTCAGATACGGCTTAGTGTGCTAAAACAATTTCGGAAAATTTCAGAAGAAAAAACGCTCGAATTTTTAAAAACGCGAATTTTCGGGGATTCCCACCGTCAAAATCCGATTTTTAAAAGCGTAAACCTATTTTCGGAATTTCTCAAACAAGGAGAACGAAAAAAAAAAATTCGCGAAAATTTCGGTCCCAACCCTAATTTTCCGCGTTTCGGCGAAATTTCCGGATTTACGGTCCCAAAACGTTCGAATTTCCCCAAGTTGATCTAAAACCCAAAGATTCTCGTAGCCCTAATTTCCAATACTGAAAGACAACGGAAATCCAAAAGACAACGAAATATAGGATTTGCAACAAAAATGCTGAAAACGGAATGCTGAATGGAAATCAGAAACGCCGAATTTCAACATG